TAATGGAGATCCAAAGCCACGTTCCTGAAGTGGATGGAGAAGGGCCTGGTTAAAATCAAATTCTAGGGCACAGAGCTCCACATAGGGAACACTGTTGTTCATTCTTTGAGCCCTGCAGCACATACAGCTCAGATTTGTTCCGTCTGAATTAAGTTTCCCATTAACAGCATGTACAATTGTGTGTAGGATCTGCATATCAAGCAATGTAAAGACACAAGATGGAAACTATCCACTTACTGAGCAGTCTGGGCTAAAATCTCTTGTAAATGTTAATATAGTAAAAGTATAGTGTTCTCAGCTCACCCCTGTTAATTAATTAGTGATCTCAATCTTACTCCTGCTTGAAAAACAACCATACTGCAGGAAACTACCATAGCAAAAATGTAAACACTGATTAACATGAAAGACTCAAGAATAACAAACTAAACTGAAAGGTGGGGAAATTAAAAAAAACCAAACCCAACCAAACAAAAAAAACCACCTGATAATTTAAAAAGACTACTCTTACCTTTATTTTGCAAGATGAAGGATGAAATGATGCGGTCCCATTCCTCATTCTTTGTATCTAACAATACTAAGACCAGGTCAAATCTGCTCAACAGTGGACTGCCAAGGGCTATGTTGACAGAGACAGACTCATTAGGGTCATAATGGCCTTTTGGGTTTGTTGCTGCCAGGATTGTTGTCCTTGTATTAAGTTTGCACACCAAGCTAGAGAAAAGTATGGTGAACATAATGGTTGAATTAAATTGGGTAGAGGAAATTATTCCAAAGTGTTAAAAATTATCACATTTTTATGTTACAAAAAGCACATCTTACCTTGAAAGACCATAGGAGTTATAAAATATACACAATTATTGTACTAATACATATTACATACACAGCATTTCTCAGTCAGAGAATAACAACTAGACAGAAAGACACTGATCAGGATACCAAAAAATTAAGCAATATTGCCATGAGTAATGGCAATAGCTATATACAGCTAGGTCCTTAAATGGTGAAAACCAACACAACTTTTCAGAAATTAATATTACTTTGCTGATTTATACAGTATAGAAACACTTTTTTTTATGACGGAAAGTAACATCTTAGCTTAATTCACATTTTAAGAAAGCAAAATAAAATGTAATATAAACACGTTTTATACCTGTGTGTAAACATGTTATGAATATGAATCCAACCAAACAACAATGGCAGACATATCAACTGTTTCTCCAGGGAATAGCCATTTTTCTCTCTTAACCATGCTATCCTGGCATGTGTTTTCAGATGTGGGGAGAGATTATTTTTATTCCAGCAGTCCAAATGTAATCTTTTCGGTTAAGGCAGCAGCAGAAGTATTCTAACTTTGGTTTGTCACTGAGCTATTTCTAGTCAGCTCCTGACTAACTGCTGCCTCCCATCCAAAATTCTGCTGTAACTGAGAGGAAGGACCACAGATCTTCTATTAGCTTACGCCCGATGGGAAAAAATCCTTATGTCCCATGCACCAAAATAAGGCCTTAAATTAGCAAAGTGCGTAACCTATCTGTGCCAAGTTACTACTCAAAAAATCCTCATTATATGTAGTCCTTAAAAGTGGGCAACTGAGGCTATATGTGCAAGTTAGTAAACTGTGCTTTGGGGTCTAAAATGCAACAAACTGCAACAAGGAACCTGGCTAAAATATGTCACTATCTTACTAAGTAGATAGGACCACATTGATTCCAAATATTTGTCCCCAGCTGCATTACTGCCAGAGACTAGTAATCTCCCAGGTAAAAGCGACATTACTTGTCCACTGTCTGCCCAAGAGGGTAAAGAGAGCTTCAGTGGAGATGCTCAGAGTAAAGAAAGGACATGATCAGTTAGAGAATCCAAGAAGATGTGATTGGAACAAGAGCTGCGTTGAAGGCGACAAGGAGGAATGTCGAAAGGCTGATGCCTTTTGAGCAGTAGAGATTTCAGCAATACCAGCCAGGAAATTATTTAGGCCTGCACAAGAGCCGCATATGACCGACAGAATGAAATATGAGCTCAAAGACCAAAGTGGCAAGGGGTGGGATAGGAAATAGCAGATTTGAACACACACGACTTTGAAAAAGAAAGCGAGGAGTTTATATTTATGCCATGCCCAACATATAAAATTCAGCAGCCTGGAAATCTCCTGGTCTTCTTTTGTTACCATGCAGTATTACTGGATTTTGGAGAAATGAAGTCCCGCTTTCTGAGTTTCAATAAAAAATTCACAAAGTTCCTCATTTCACATATGATTATTATGACCACTCACAGCAAAGGACAAGAAAAAGAATACCAAGTCTTCTTAGGAAAGTGCCCTGGCCTACATTGCTTGCAACCTCTGGTCCAGTGCACTGTCCTTTGAAAAGCTGACTCATGTAGTTTAAGAGTACTGCTGAGAACAAAACTGTTAAGTACAGCAAAGAAAACAGACACATTTAATCAGCATGACAAACCTCCCTTCAACTTGTACCGACAAGATTAACATCTTACATTGCTTTATCATCTACCTTAACATGCCACTTACCCTGCCTTTGCAACACTGATGGTTTGTTGCTCCATTGCTTCATGAATACTGGTTCTGTCATGTTCTTTAATACTGTTGAACTCATCAATGCAACAAAGGCCTCCATCTGCAAGCACCAGTGCTCCAGCTTCCAAGTTCCACTCCCCAAACTCCTTCACAGCAGTCACTGTCAAACCTGAAGAATCAATTACTTCAGTCAGTCTTTTTCTTAAAACACAGGAGCGCACGTGAGTGAAAAGAAGGGACCTGGTGCACTGGCTTGTGCCAAGGACAGAAGGCAAAACAGCAGGTTAGCTCCACCACGTACTTCTGCCATGGGACTCGCTTTACACCTACTGGCAAAAAATCCCACTAGTGTTCGGCAGGTTAGCCTGGATCTACAGAGCAGATTCTGTTAAGCTTCCCATATTAGATAGTGACTTAGTTTGGGACATTTCATTAATTGAACAAAAGAGATTAGGGTAAGAAGACTAAATCTGCCATATTAAATTGAAAATTAGGGCAAATGCAAAGATTGCAAAATTATGGAATGGACCCATTCAGCTCCTCCTCGCCATCAACTACTAAAACAGACAAAAATTTTGGAGCTACAACACAAAGTTTGGAAAAAAAAAGTTATTATTTCAAGTGTCTTTTAACTCCTGGTGCCAGGAAGCGGATACAAATTCTTACCTTAAACTACGGCAATTAAATTTCTTTATGAGATTTTGAGTTCCTCTAAGCATTAAGCAAAAATGAAAATCCGAAGATGCCCAAAGATGAAATGGGGTGGGGGGAGGTTCCCAGTAAATCTACACATGATACAACACCGGGAGCATGGCAGGTCAGAAACTGTGCAACTGTGAAAACAGCCACTCATTATCACGCACGTGCAGATCCCTTCAAACCTTCTATTCCCTATTTCCCAGATTCTTCTCGGTCTTTAGCCCTCCTTTTTCTCTCCAGTGTTCAGCTCAAAATATCCTAGTAGACGACAAGCTGCTACCAGCCTAAAATCTCCTGGAATGCTACGGCAAAATGTGCCCAAGAATCCCCCCTCAACTTCCCTTGGTTAAGGTAGGAGAGGCTGCTGAGGCCTTCTTATCGCTGTCAGCCCACCACAGCAGCCATTTTTTCCCAAATGGCCAGTAAAAATTTATTGGAAATATATGTTTCCTGTTAACATAACGTGTACTTTAGTTTGTTGTGAGGAATATCCTCCATTGTGTCCAATCCTTCCTGGTTTCCTGGACTCTGCACTGAACAACTCGGGCAGTCGATCATATGGCAGAATTATAAAAAAAGCAAAATAACCTCTAGCCTTGTGTCAGACGTGGAGAATGCTATTAAAAAGTGGAGCGAGCAACACATCAGGCAAATATCAGACGACGACATTGCTTCGAAACTACAAACCAAAAGTGTCACCTACTTTCCAAACCTTGCACGGGCTTGGAGATTTGCTGAAGGCCAAGGGCCTCCGTGCCTCGGCGCTGCGCTCTCGCCCGCTGCAGCTCTGGCAGCACTCTGCTCCTTCCAGCAGGGCTTGGCCTTTCCACGCAGGTGGGAAGATGGCTCCTACATGCCTTCACTGCATTCCAGGGCCAACCTGCAGACATTGCTAGAGCCTGGCTGTGTATTTATTTCCACAGAGAATCTCCTCTTGTAGCGAGGGGTACACCCAACTCGCAGCCCCCAAGCCCCGAGCACGTAAACTAGCGCTACAGTGCTACGTCGCTCCTCCCTATCCCTGGTGTGCGGCAGCCACAAGATGGCCTCCTGTCTGGTCCTCCTGCTGCCACACAAGATGGCCTCCTCTCCAGGCCTCTTGCAGCTGCACAAGATGGCCTCCTCTCTGGGCTTCCTGCCGCTGCAGAGGGACACGTGCTGTTTCACAGCCTGATACCTACGGCCTTCTTTACAAAGAGAGGAATGGGATAGCTTCTTGACAGCAGGGCTGTGTAAAAGACACGCTCCGATCCCTCTGCACGCCGCCTCTCTAGGAGCAGCGAGGCGGATTCGTGGCAGAGTTCGGGCCTGGGTGCACAGCCTGTCAGCACCCCGCCAGCAAACCACCCTTTATTCAGGGAGCACCCCAGCCAGCGAGGCACCGGCCGGGCTCCAAGTTGACGCGCTGCCTTTGGCCAAGAGGTCAGTGCCGTGGGGCCGACCGGGGGGACGCTGCGGCTCCCCGGTAGTGTTGCCCTCTTGCGAGCCCAATACCCCCATCGCAGCCCCGACACCCAGGACCCCATCAGCACCCAGCCCCAGCGAAACCGCCTCACCCCGACCACCCTTGTCCGCAGCAAAAGAAAAAGAAATAACAAACCAAACCACAAAAAGCCTA